TGACAGCTGTCACGCTTACTTGGCCAGAGCAAGTCATGTTGTCATACCCAGCTTCAGCTAGGGGCAGGTATGAGTGGCTAAGCAGTCTTATCATGTATCTGGAAAGAGACGAGGAGATCCATGGTGGATAACACAGCCACACGTTCCACCCTGCTTAATTTTTCTACCCCATTTGTTTCCCTCTGACACAATACTTACATAATCACCTAACTTTGTGTATGTTCCTGTGTCTCCTGTTGAGGTCACAAAGGAGTAGGACTTTGTCCCTCATTAATTACTGTGCCCCAGACTGTAGGATAATGCATGATCTAACAGAGGTGCTTCCTAATTTTAGGGCATGGTTGAAATAGTTCGAGCTCATCATTTATTTCTTCACTCGGTGACACGTGAGCCACGTCAGGAGTGTGGAGCAGGGAGGTTTGAGGAGAGAAGAGGAGGTAGTATGAAAATGAGAAGCTGGAGAGAAGCAGTGGAGCTGCTGGTTGATGGAGAGTGCCCACTGAGATTTGAGACCAGGAACCTGCGGGGAAATGTTGCAGCTCAGCTGCGTGATTTCCTCCAGAAGCGTCGAGTTGCTCCCGAGCTGGCAGGGCAGGGGCGGGAATGACTGTTGGGGCGCATTTCACAAGGATGAGTGGAAACCCAAGGTGACGAAGGAAACAGGATCCTTGCTGCCCCTTCAGGGTGCAACTGCATCACCCCTGCTCCTTCTCCCACCCTGTCAGAAAGATGACAGACCGGAGTGCCTGGGTGGCTTAGTCGGTTAAGCGTCCGACTTTCGCTTAGGTCATGATCTCGTGGTTCGTGGGTTCGAGCCCCGCGTCGGGCTCTGTGCTGACTGCCAGCTCAGAGCCTGGAACCTGTTTCAGTCTGTGACTCCCTCTCTCTCTGACCCTCCCCTGCTCACGCTGTCTCTGTCTCTCTCTCCTAGAAATAAATAAAAATATTAAAAAAAAAAAAAAAAAGATGATAGACCTCGCCTGGAGCAGAGCTCCCCTGTCTCCTGGGTGGCGTGAGCGGGGTGGCAGCCCTGTCTCCTGGGTGGCGTGAGCGGGGTGGCAGCCCTGTCTCCTGGGTGGCGTGAGCGTGGTGGGAGCCCTGTCTCCTGGGTGGCGTGAGCGTGGTGGGAGCCCTGTCTCCTGGGTGGCGTGAGCGTGGTGG